CCAGTGGCCAGGCACTCAGGGTCTCAGCCCCTCAGCACCACTGGGCCTGGTGGGCTTCTTTCCCTTCACCCACTTCCTCCAGCTGTCCTGTTACCCCTGTTTTTTTTTCTCTTATCTCCTGGTCACTCCTCTTCAATCTCCCTTGAGGGCCCCATTTCTTCCTTTCAGCTTCTCTGCATTGCTGTGCCCAAGGCTCAGTCTTGGGCCATTCTCATTTCCAGATATTCACTCTTGTCAGGTGGCCTTGAGGCCCATGACATGTGACCTTCTATATACAACTTACACCTGAGTCTGATCTCCAGGGAGATTCAAATTTTATATTCTTGTGTATGTCGAGCAGGTATCTAAAATACAACTTGGCCAAAATACAACATTTTGTCCACCTTGCCCCCCAACATGATGCCTGCTTCTTCCTGAGGCTTCCCCATTTCTGTGAAATACCCCCATGTACCCGCTTACCTGTGAGTCCCTTGATTACCCTCTCTCTCACCTCCCACACTTAAGCCAGCAGCCAGTTCTGTTGTCTCTGTGCCCAGAGTACACCCCTTACCGCCTTCTCTCCTATCACCCTCATCCAAGATGCCATTTTCTCCAGGGCAGTCCATTGCTACAGCCTCCTAACTGATCTCTCAGCTTCCACTCTTCACACCCTCTCCTCCTGCCCCCAGGGTCCATTCTTCACACAACAGCAAGAGTGAGACAACATATGAGATCACCCTTCCGTGACTAAGGATCTGCAGTGGCTTCACATGACACACTCAGCCCAAACTCCTTATACAGAGACTTGGCCCTTGCCTGCCTCTCTGCCTTCCTCTCCAGCCCATTCTGCTCAGTCCACTCTGCTTCAGCCACATCGGCTTTCTTGCTGTGCCTCGTCATTCAAGCCCACTTCCAATCCAGGGTCTTTACTTCTCGGGGTTCCCTCCTCTCGGCATGCTGTTTCCTAGCTCTTTGCAAGATGGGCACCTTCTCTATATTCAGGGCTCTGCTCAAGCCACATTCTCAGAGGGCCTTTCTTCCCTGACCACCTCACCTAAAACAGTACCTCTCATTGCACCCACCCAGTTATCCTCTATCCTATTACCCTCTTAGTTACTTTTCGACCACTGAAGAGGAACTGAACCACAGGTGCTGGAGCTGATCACTAGACCTTCCCCCACCCACATTATTACAGAGAAAAACAAAGAGGTAAGAGTGAGCCCAGGCTTCCCCTCCAACTCTCCCCCCCCCCGATTCTGTGGGCAGAGCTCAGTTGGGTGTTGTCAAGGCTGTCACTTGGCACCCTGACATCAGCTGAGCCACTCCTGGCATTCATCCAGTCCAGTGAACATGGCACCAGGGCAGGCAGCCACATGAGTAGTGGAAAGGAGGCTGGAGTGACCTTGCCCTTCTCCTCTCTGGAGCAGATGGGGACAGCAGGCTTCCACACATTGCTAATCATGGGAAGTTATATTGCCCTGGTGTCAGAGCCCCCAGGCACCAGACAGAGGGGCCCTGGCTGCTCTGGTGGTTTCCATTTCTCACAACAAAACTGAGAGGACCCAAATAAGTTGTTGGATAATAAATCATTGAACAATTTTTGATGATAGATGACTAGATGATTTTGACAAGTAACTCGGAAAGATTTCAAAGAGTTGAGTGACACCACTGAAATAAAATTCCTTTCATTCCCATCCACTCATAGTTTATACGTACAAGTTTTCCTAAGATTTACATTTCAAAAACCAAACTAAGAATAGGTTCAATGCTGAGCCCTCATTCTAATTACGAATAATATATATATAAAATAATTTTAAAAAGCTCTATCTCAACAAGATATATTGCTAATGAAAATCAGCATTTATAATAGAGAATATTTATGCATTTATGTTATTTTGATAGATTGTATACTAACAATAATTATAATGATGACTCAATCTGGGAGAATTTTAAAAGATTTAACATCCTACTGGTACATAAAATATAATAAATTAAGTTTTGACTGAACACACTTTTATTGTTGCAAGTAACTATCATAGGATGATCAGTAAAATGTTTTTAAACATAATACATATTATATTAGTATAAAATTTCATGGGGGAAATGAGTGGAAATGTCAGTTCAAGGAGAAAAGAGAATGCCATAAATTTCTGACTTGAAGATTTATTTGCTCATGTAATTTTTAGATGGTTGACAGTAGGAAACAGTCACTACACGATTGGAATTTTATTGGATGCTTTTATAAAAGGGATGTAACAGTTTTATTTTGAAATGTCAAATTTACAATATTCCAGGAATGATAACATTTGCAATGAACTATTTAAAGTTATGATAACAAATTTTAAATTCTAACCTAAAATGTATACGTTGGTGGAGAGGTGAGGTCATAGGTTTGTTTTGTTGTTTTAAACCCTCACTTGAGGATATTTTTTTTCCATTGCCTTTCAGAGTTTTCACTCTTTCTGAAGGGAGGGAGGGAAGTGGGGAGAGAAAAACATCAATGTGAAAGAGACACATGGACTGGTTGCCTCCCACAGGTGCCCCGACTGGGGGCAGGGAGCGAACCACAACCCAGGTACATGCCCTCAACTGGAATCGAACCTGTGACCCTTAGGCCTATGCTCTAACCACTGGGAACATCAGCCAGGGCAAGGCCACAGTTTTTCAAAATTCTTGTAGGTTGTATGTAAGTACAATATTGGCAGATCAACATCTGACAAGGATCAGGGCCCTGGAAAGGCCTTTGGGGGAGGGAACTGGACTTGCTGCTTTCACAGTGAGGCCGAGGTGGATGGACATTTGGAGGACATTGTCTACTGGGGACAAGGGTCTTACCTCTAGGCTGGAGGACACTGAGGCTCAGCTCCATGCTTGACATCCCTTCCAGGTGTTCCTGATGTATTTCATTTGAAAGCCAAACCATGTTGTGTAGATGCTCCTATATGTACCTGGACCCCATATATCTCTCTGCTCCAAGGATTCATGCAAGCTCAACATTCACATGCAAACTACATGGCCCGAGTGGCCTGTCTTCCAGCCAGGCTCCTCTTCAGGTTGAGGGGCAGCACATCAGGATGCTCAGGCGGTGGCCTGGAGTCCTCAGCCCTCACTTCCTGATCCTAGTGGGTGAAGGATTTCATACCTTTTCTGTCTTCAGGCTGATGGGATCGGGGTTCAGGGGGTGAAAGTGAGGGACTGCAGAGAAAGAGAAGCATTGACCCTTTCAAACAGCAGGGGACCCTGAAGGGAGTAGCCACATACCAGTCACAGCTCACACCTTTAGCTAGTTTCCTTTAGCAAGTGTCGATGGACACTTGGGATATTTCCAGTTGTTTGCTATTTATTATAAGTGATGTAGAATGAACAATTTTGACCATGTGTCATTTCACAAGGGTGTATGTCCATCTGCAGGATAAATCCCCAGAAGTGAAATTACTGGGCCAAAGGGGATATGCATTTATAATTTTCATAGTTATTATAAAATTTTCCTCTATAGGAGTTGTACCAATTTATATTCCCACCTGTAATGCTTAAGAATGGAGGTCTTCCCACAGTCTTACCAACTGGATGCCTTGTTAAACTTTATATTTGTAATCTGATAGAGCATTGGTAGTCAAAGTGCTGTTAATTCATCTTAGTATAAGTAATGTTGAGCATCTTTTACTCTGTACAAGATCTAATAGTATTTCCTTTTTTGTTGACAGCCTGTTAACATATTTTTGTTGGGTTTTTGTCTATTTTGTTAGATTTTTGTTCTTGTTTTTTCTAATGTTTTGAGGGAATTCTTTATATACTAAGCAAATACTTCCTTTGTCTGAGATACAAGTTACAACAGTTTCTTTTGTGTTTTGACTGTGCTTCTGATGACTCCTGAAATCCTGAAGGTTCGCCCCTGGCATCATTCATTCCTACACTCCCACACCTTTGTTCACACTGGTCCCTCCACCTTTCTTTTCTATGTGGGGGACTGCTGCTCATGCTTTTAGGCCTGACTCACATGTCGCCCTCGGTGACCCTCTGTCCTTCACAGCAGATCTGTCACCCCCCGACTGCTCCTTTCATACTGTATCACCTCTACTTGGCATTTTCCTTCATTTTGCTTCTGCGTCTCACCTCTCCTGTCCAAGCAGGAATGCCTTACCTTTCTTGCTTCTGTGCTCCCAGCCCCTAGTACATAGCATTTGCTTTATAAATGTTGAGTAAATGAACAGAGAAATTGTCGGCAGCTGTTTCCACAACCTTTAGTCCCTGTTTTCAGGTCAAGGTTTTGCACTGAATATCCTTTTGTTGAAAACAGAAATGAAGGGGATGGGTGGGAGGCGGCCTGCTGGTCAGGGGTGTTTCCAGGTGCTTGGCGGCACTCAGCGAGGAGCAGGCTGCCAGCTCCCCAGCCAGGCTCCCATGGCCTATCTGCCCCTGTCTGTGTCAGATCCAAGAAAAGTCAATCACCACATGGGAACAATTTTTTTTTTTCAGTAAAATTTATTTCAGAATTATTGAAGCAGTGTGATCTTACTTCTTCATTCACAAATATTCCTATTAAAATAATCTGAGCTTATTCAACCTGGAGAAGGGACTAGATATAAAGACAGTACACTCATTCCAATCACACGGGATTCTTAGATATTGAAGACTGGGTTCCTTGGCCTTCTTGAACTAAATTAAATAAACGAACCCATCAATAAATAAATATATAGTTTAAGTGGTTGCTCATCGGAAGCTGGGTGCAAAGGACAGAGAGTTTCTTTGAACCAAATGTACAGTGGCTTCTGCCAGGCTGGCTTTGTGGGAGCAGAGAGGGGAGAGAGGCCTGGCTGAGCACAGGGGCCTGAGGATTGGCCCCGGGAGGAGAGGGCTGCTTCTCCTGGCTGGTGGTCTTCTTAGCATTAATGTGAGGAAAGCAGCTGGGCATTGACTAGACAACAATGAAGTGCAGCCTGCCACCATGTTCAGAGCCTTCTGTACCCCTTCTGCAGCCCTGGGGTTACTGAGCACACGTGGGTGCTCTGGGTACAGGTCTCTCAGCGAGGCAGGATTTCCATGGTGAAGTCAGTTATATCCTGGCCACCTCTGCTATTTCCCAGGAAGACGGGCATCTTTTCCTCTTGCGAGGTGCTGATGTACCAGTTGGGGTACAGGGCAGACTCAAATTCGACCTTGTCCTTGATTTCTGTCTTGTTGAAGACAAATCTCTTGTCTATCTTCTTCTTTGACTGAGAGTTGGGGTCTAATGTCTGCAGCAAAACAGAAGCAAGAGTTTTTGTGAGGGAAGGAGCAGAGACATTCTGGTAAAGCCGTTCTCTGGGTCAGTGAGGGAGGAAACGGAAGAGCCAGGACCAGGAGCCCCACTCTCAAGTTATCTTTGTGACCCCCTCTTTCCATGTGGCGACTGAAGGAGCTCTTATCTGTGTCTGAAACTGAGTGTCAAGTGATGGGGAGCATAATGTATAGGTGGGCATTTTTTAAAAAGTGAAAAGTAGGTTAAAGCTTCTAGGAATACTTAGTTTCCAGGGACTTTTGCTGTGTTTTTTTTTAAAATTATTTTTTTAATGGCCTTGGCTAGAATGACTTCAACTTGGAAATGAAGCTTTAGCTGGGAAATCTGGAGGGTGGGAGAGACTGTGATTTTGGGAGTAGAGTGCAGATGGCAACAGGAGACATCTAATGACTGGAGCAACCCTGACACTGTATCATCTGTTGGGTGATAGCAGTGAAAGGACATAATAACATCAGCGAAGTGATTTCATTTTCTGCGGTGGAAGTGAAAGTTGCATGCATTTAGCCTGGCCGGGAGTGGCTCAGCGGTTGAGCATCGACCTAGGATCCAGGAGATCGGGGTTTGATTCCTGGTCAGGGCACATGCCTGGGCTGTGGGCTCGATCCCCAGCAGGGGGCGTGCAGGAGGCAGCCGATCAATGACTCTCATCATTGATGTTTCTATCTCTCTCTCCCTCTCCCTTCCTCTCTCTGAAATAAAAAAAGATATATTTAAAATAAAAAAAAAAGTTGCATGCATTTAACAATTACATTAAATGTATTTACAGTTCCACAAAATTGTCAAGTAGATCTGCTCCCGGGTTTCCTGGTGGGGAGAAGGCGGTTGTCTTGGAAGGCAGTGACGGCTAGGGGAGCGTCAGGGGAGTTGAGAAGGGCTTTCAGCCGCTGGTGCTCACTCACCTCCAGCTGCAGAATGGGCTTCTTGTCTTTCATCACACAAGACAGGTACAGGTTCTTTTCCTTGATGCCCAAGGCCACAGGTATCTTGTCGATATTCTCGTCTCCTGGCACGAAGCTCATGCAGAACACCACTGGGGAAAGAAGAGGGGCCTTGTGGTCAGGGATGCACAGCAGGGCAGGGTTGGCCCCACCGCTGGACCTCAAGCCCAGGACTCGTACAATTTAGCCTCTTCTGTGGAAACTCCCTATGATTTCTCACGGACCAAAGCAGAGTCCATTGGTTGATTCCAATTTTTCCCAGAGAAGGTCTGGGGGCTTCACAGAACCTCATTACAGTAGTAGTGAAGAATTAGGGGGTCTAATTAAAAAAAAACTGAATGAAGGAAGGAAGCTACCTTGTCAGTGGCCAGTGATGGGCCCATCCTTGTGAGCAGAATAATTTGATCAGTGTGAAAGGCAAGGAAAGAAGTCAAGCTGGGCTCCCAAGAGAAACTGGGCAGAGCAACCAATGGGAAGAATTTGCGTGAGGAGAGGCTTAGTTGGGGAAAGCGGCTGCAAGGACAGACACTCAATTTAATCTTCCTTAGTCACAACCGTTTCTCTTGGAGGCCTCAAGATCATGTTCACAACTCAGTTCTAAAGAAACAGGATTGTTCTGGCCTGGCTGAGAGCAGAAAGCTTCTCCCAGGGATAACTCTGTCTGAGGTCAGCAGCCCTGGAAAAGAACAGGCTGTTCCTTTCAGCTGCTCCCTTGGTCACATCCTTGCACACAGGGTTGAGCCGTGGTGGCAGGGTGCCAGGCAGATCCCACAACTAATGGGCTCCCCAGACTTGGAAGATTTGCCAGTTACAGCAGAGAGATAAAAGTTCCTGCTTGTCACTGAAATTTCCCTATAAGGACTCATCTGGTGTTTGGTGGGAAGGATGTTAAGGGCACAGGGGCAGGGCTGGGAATGAGAAAGACACATTATCTCTCCACCATTCTACTTTCAACCTCAACAACAGGAAAAAAGAGCCCGCAGGCAGTTGGGTCATGTCCATCATATGACCCCTTTCTAATGGAAGCACTGATATTGTACTGTTGATAAATGACTTGGCTGGACCACGGTCCTAGGTGTGCTTGAGCAATCTAATTTCTCAGTTACATCTCTTGCTGGAAAATGAATGTGCTAAGGCAATCAACCTGGTGTCATTGCTGGGACCCAAACAAAAGCTTATATGTCTTTTATATGACATGCTCTTTTCACTGATGTTGATAATTTGCCTCAATGTTCTACTTTGTTGAAAATGTGGAGGACTGCCCTCGCTGGTTTGGCTCAGTGGTTAGAGGGTCGGCCTGCGGACTGAAGGGTCCTGGGTTTGAGTCCAGCCAAGGGCATGTACCTTGGTTGCAGGCTCAATCTCCGGCCCTGGTGGGTGGGTGAGCAGAAGGCAACCAATCGATGTGTCTCTCTCACATTGACGTTTCTCTCTTTCTCTCTTTCTCTCCCCCTTCCACTCTCTCTGAAAAGCAATGGAGAAAATATCCTCAGGTGAGGGTAGAAAGGAAGGAAGGAAGGAAGGAAGGAAGGAAGGAAGGAAGGAAGGAAGGAAGGAAGAAAGAAAGAAAGAAAGAAAGAAAGAAAGAAAGAAAGAAAGAAAGAAAGAAAGAAAGAAAGAAAGGAAGGAAGAAAGAAAGGAAGGAAGAAAGAAAGAAAGAAAGAAAGAAAGGCAATGTGGAGGATTAGCAAGCTGCCAGGATGCCAGGAGGGGAATCAAGATTTCCCAGTTACCTTGTTGGCTCGTATCATGTGTATTCAGGTGCAGAGCTTGCAGCTCATGCGGTCCAGACAGCACCAGGGATTTCTGGTGTACGTCCCGGAGCGTGCAGTTCAGCGTTTGCAGGAGTGCATCACACTCGTAACTGTCACCGTACAAGTAGGTGATGGGTTCTGAAATGTGGAGCACATGCGGTTTAGGTACAAAACAATAAGGGTGGGTTCAAGAAATTGTAACCCGACGGGGAGGAAATCAGGGCGGGTAAGAACATTGGACGTGGCACCTTAAGAGAGGGGTTCAAGCTTCAGCACTATTGCTTGCTATGGAGGAGCAATAGAGCGACTTGTGTAAAGTGGCCATCCAATAACACTGGCTCAACAAGGGCAAGAGATAATGTAAGAGGAAGCACTCTGAGAATGACCGAGTGATTTGCAAATGTGAGTAGTTATCAAGGTCTCATTTTGAGAATAGTTTCAACTAAAGAGGTGATTAATTTGGTTTCTAGGCTTCTCTGTTTTCCTGTTTTCCTCCCATTGATGAGCCTAATACTTTAAAGGGTAATGATGAAAGAATGTTCAGATCAGTAGAAAGCTTTATAAGAGTTTATCTAAACAAAGAATTTGACGACATGCCCGGAAGCAAGAGATATCAACAGATTGAGAAAATGCTCCAGGGAATGAACAGTTCCTTTTGTATACATTAGAACCAAAGGGCCTTTGTAGTTTCCCTTTTATGGTCATTTCGATTTTCTCCTAAAGGATTGGAAAGAAGGGAAAATGCCCTCTCGGAATCCTCCAAGCAGCCCTACGCTTGCTTCAGTTTCTCTTGTTTTTCTAAACCCCATTTCAGTTTTCTACAGTTCTCCTTAAGGTGACCTGGCTTTTTACCATAAAAGCGGACTCCTCCTTCCCCCTGTCAAGAAGGTCTGTCGTGAGGTCTGACCTGATTGCTTAATTGCTGGAGCTATAAATTCATGATTTTAGTAGCTTTATCTTTTTCTTTTGGATACTTTTAGATAATTGATTGGCCAAATTACTAGTTTCCTACGTTCTAACAGTTAAATCAGATTCCTTTATGAATCCATCAAGGTCTTGGAGATGAACAGGGAAATCTTTAGTTAGATTCTTTAATTCTGTTCTAGTCAAGGAATGTATATCATTGCTGATTTCCCATGCCTGCACTGGCTTTTCCCTAAAGGGAGCTGCCAATATTTCTGGTTTTCACAGTTTATCCTGGTCTGGCTTTCTAGTCTCAGCTTCCTCTAGGCCACTGGGGAGTGACGGTGGAGGAAATGTAGGGGAGAGACAGGGGAGAGACAAGGGAGAGGAGGGAGGGAGGGCAAGTCCCTACGAGAAAGCACAGAAAGCAAAGGATGCGGAGCATGGAGAGGGGGAGAAATGGGGTGTTGGCATTGACTAGCTTCGGATGCCTGCCTGAGTTCAGAAGCAGTCTAAACTTTTCTTACTGACTTCCTGGAGAAGTTAAGGGCACTGTTGAAATGCTTCAACTCGCCAACTGAGGTAAGCCTCCCATTCATTCAGTTTAACTGTGGAGCCAGCTTTTTCCAATTGAGCACACAAAAAAATCAATTTAGAGGTGTCAAAAGAGCCCCATTTTGGCCATCGTAAGCTGATAACACTTTCGGTTAAATCTTCCTGTTTCTCTAAATACTTGCCATCAAGGCTCCATATGAATTATCTGTACAGCCTGCAGGAGTATTAATGGGGGCTGAGTGCCTTGGGGCTTGTTGGCCTTGGAGGCACAATTTCCCATGTCAATTTTAGTTTTCTTTTGAGATCATCAGAGTCTGAACAAAATCCTAGGAATATCATGTGGTGAGTTGTAGTGTGATGCTTTATGGCCTAAGCTCTAAGGGGCTGTCATCCCCTGAGTTGCTCAAATCCTCTTAGTGTCTTGGTTTTTCTCCATGGCTGTCTAATATAACCTGGAGGACTTGGAACCCCAGGTAACCAACCTTCATGTGTATGTCTCCAGATGAGTCAATTATTTAATTACAATGTGCTGGAATTCCCTGTGGGCCACTATGTGTCTTGAGAGTTCCAAAGATCCTGAGTTACCTAAGAATACCTGAGATTTGGGTTGGGGTGTGTGTGTGTGTGTGTGGGGGGGGGGGTACTAAGTGCCCCTTTTCTTTGAAGCTGAATGAATTCAGAATCTCATTTATCTAGCAAGGATTTTGTTCAGACACTTAGTAAACAATTCCAATGAAAAGTCAAAATTAAAAAGCAGTCTCCCAGGTATTTGCAAATGATACATCCAATAAGGGGTTAACATCCAAAATATATAAAAAACTCATACAGTCAACATCAAACAGACAAGCAATCCAATTAAAAAAATGGGCAAAGGACCTGAATAGACACTTCTCCAAAGAAGACATACAGATGGCCAACGGACAGATGGAAAGATGCTCAACATCATCAGGGAAATGCAAATTAAAACCACCACAGTGAGAAATCATCTCACACCTATCAGAATGGCTATTAGCAATAAATTGACAAACAACAAGTGTTGGCAAGGATGTGGAGAAAAGGAACCATCATGCATTGTTGATGGGAATGCAGACTGGTGCAGCCACTGTGGAAAACAGTATGGAGGTTCCTCAAAAAAAATTAGAATAGAAATACCATATGACCCAGCAATTCCACTATTGCGTATGTATCCAAAAGAATCCAAAACACTAATTTAAAAAGATATATATACCCCTATGTTCATTACAGCATTATTCATGGTGGTCAACACATGGAAACAACCTAGATGTCCACTGATAGACAACTGGAGAAAGAAGCTGTGTACCTATATACAATGGAATATTACTCAGCCATAAAAAATGAAATCTTGCCATTTGTGACAACATGGGTGGACCTAGAGGGTATTATGCTAAGTGAAATAAGTCAGAGAAAGACAAATACCATAAGATTTCACTTATGTGCGGAATCTAAAAAACAAAATAAATGAACAAACAGAAGCATAGATACAGAGAACAAACTGATGGTTGCCAGATGGGAGGGGGATTGGGGAGATGGGTGAAAAAGGTGAAGGGATTAAGAAGTACAAATCGCCAGATATAAAGGCAGTCACAGGGATGTAAAGTACAGCATAGGGAATGTAGTAAAAAATATTGCAATAACTATTTATGGGGCCAGGTGGGTATGAGACTTATGGGGGATCACTTCATAAGTTATTTAAATGTCTAATCACTATGCTGTACACCTGAAACTAACATAATATTTTATGCCAGTTATAACTGAAAAATAAATTTAAAAACAAATCAAAGCAGTCTTTCATCTTTCTTTTGTTCCTGGGTTACCTCAACCCTTGTCCTATAGTGCTACCTCAAGGGTTTTCTAAGAGCATCTCAAATAAAGCCAGGACCTGCGACCTCAGTCAACAGGGAGGCCCAGAGTTCCAATAGGAAACTCACCCAAGTCCACCTGATGCAAAGCGGGAGCCGGTGGGGCTCAGTGGGCCCCTGCTGGCCCCTAGCTCCAGGCCCGGGTTCGCAGGGTGGTCTGGGTGGGCTTATTTAGAATCCTGTTGGCTTATGCCAAATAAAGAATGTCCAGTTCTGTAGCTTTATAAGAATTGATCTGAGCCAAAATGTTGAGGACATGCCTGAAGCACAATATCAATAAATTGAGAAAATGCTCTGGAGAATGGCAGTTTTGCAGCTTCTTTTATGCATTAGATTAAAAACGTAAGGAGGGTTACATGAAATCCATTGGTGGTAGACTAGGGAGGCAGGAGAAAGCAAAGCGGGGACATCTCTGTGATTAGATAAAAAACAAAGTGGAGAGGCACATACTTGCTTTACGTTGGTGGGTACAGGATAACTAATCATGAACATTTACAGCACGTAGAGACAGAGAGACGGTATGTAGGGGGACGAAATGACAATCAGCGGTTCTGTGGCCTCCTGCTTTGGTGCCAGAGGAAAAGAAAATGACTCTGACATTGCAAAAGTGTGTTCTCCTAGGGCACAAGAGCAATGGACGCGGCTCCTTAAGGCAAAGAGTGACATTTGCTAAGGAGGCTACAAGCCTGGGACTCGAAGGCCCTGCCTGCCCGGTTAGCAATCTGTAATCTGACCATCCTGGGTGGCTGCTCTGGGTCACCAACCTTTCCTGGCCTGCCCTGTGGCCCCCTGCGCTTGTCTCGTCGAGTCTCCGTGTGGACCTTCTCACGCACAAGGGTTTCAGCTTTGGGGGAGCTGCTTTGACTGCTGAGTTACGGACTCTGAGAAGGAAATGAGCGACCCCCTGCCTGCCCTCAGCTCTCATTAAGTACCTTCCACAAAGATGAGAAAAAAGAGGCTCCTCAGGTCGTCGTCCTGAAAGTCCTGCGAGCAGACAACGGGAAACTTCCTCAGCTTCTCCAGGGCGATGACCACAGACACGGCCCGCCTGAAACTCGAGCTGCTGAGCTGGTGCGAGATTTTCAGTTGGATGCCCCCGCTTTCCAGGGAGCTGAGGTCCAGGTCTTGAAAGTAGCACTGTGGAAAGATCCGGAAAGCGAGCTTGTTAGGGTGGTCAGGCCAGAGCGCTTCCATCGTGTCATCAGAGACCTGGGAGGGGCCTTAGGTGTCACTGAGCTTCTAAGGATAAACTCTTGTCTCTCTGAAGCCCAGAGAGATGAAGAGGTTTACCAAGGGCAGGAGGCAGGTTAGAGGCCAGAATGGGGGCTTTCTGATGCCCGATATGCTATTCTTTTAGAATAAATCCCATTTGTACCTTGTGTATCTTTTTAAAAAAAGGCTATTTTTATTGATTTTTAGAGAGAGGAAGGGAGAGAGAAAGAGAAACATGAATGTGAGAGCAGAACATCAATTGGCTGCCTCCTGCATGCCCCCCACCAGGGATCGAGCCCGCACTCAGGCATGTGCCCTGACCGGGATTGGAACCAGCAACCTTTTGGTGCATGGGGCGACGCCCAACCAACTGAACTACACCAGCCAGGGCCCTTGTGTATCTTTTTTTTTTTTTTAAATCCTCACCAGAGGACAATTTCTCCATTGATTTCTAGAGAGAGTAGAAGGGAGGGAGGAGGGGGGCAGAGAGAGAGAGAAACATCGATGTGAGAGAGACACATCGATTGCCTCCTGAACATGCCTGGACTGGGGAGAGGAACCTGCAACCCTGCCCTTCACCAGGAATCGAACCTGCAACCATTCAGTCCACAGGACAATGTTCTAACCACTGAGCCACACTGGCCAGGGCCCTTGTGTGTCTTTTTTACAGCTGCTCCACTAGCCATAAACTTCTCCCTTTTTACACTTTACACCTTGTTGTATCCCTAATACTCTAATGCTATGCATTTAAAATTTTGTCAGTGATGATCATAATATTTTCTATACATCTATGCTAATTCAATAAGTTTTTAATTATTTTAAACAAGTTCATTTTCCAGAACACTGTTTCATATGCATTCTGCAAATATGTTAAAAGTGGCTACTATTTGTAAAGTGTGTGACCACTTTGTTGTTGTTTGGAGAAACTGTAACTGTAGTGAGGCTTACTGAGGTTGTCCTGAGGCATGACAATGGTTTAAAAGCTTGAGAGAGAGTGAAAGAGACCTCTAATGGCTCAGAGGAATGCTGACTGCAGAAAAGTTCCTGCCCAGCAGAGCCAGGCTGCTGGGAGGCAAAGGGCCAGACAGAGAAGCCACGTCCCATCCAGGGCAGGACTAAACCAGTTATGCTGGTTTTAAAGCATTTCAGGTGAGACCTAAAAGGGTGCGATGACTTGTCCAAGGTCAAACAAGTGAATGATTTTCTTTTACCTCCCAATTCATCTTTTTGTTTCCATCATCTACCTCTTGTCATTAACTCCACCCCAGGGAGCAAAGATCTATTCCACCTCAAAGGGGAACAGACGAGTTAACACCCAAAGTCATCTCCTGTGGCTCTCAGGACTAGGCTCCAGTGAGTAATGTAGGCTGAGCCCCTTTCTTAAAAGGAGAATAAAATTTGCATTGAAGCCTGGCTGTCTTTCTGACATTACACAGCAAACCTATCCCCACTGCCATGCCCCTCACCCTCTGCCAGCACGGCGCCATCACCGAGCCTTAGTGGGTGACGGCATGGTGCAGGGGCCACCCAGGGGCCAGGCCACCCTGCGGCACAGCCTGCACTCATCTTACTGGAAGACGTGAAAGTCATTCCATCGCAAAACACAGCAGGATCAAGGTGGCCCAGAAGGCTCTTCCTTCAGCCTTTCCCAGTCAGAGCCCCTCCATGGGTTGGATGCTAAGCTCCCGGCCTCACCTTAGTTTGTTGCGGACCATCAGCCTCAAAGACCAGGTCATTCTCATGGCCACTGGAATAAAAACAGAGACACTGCTCAATTATATCTCCCAGACAAGTTGTTTTTCCTTCCTGCAAAACAATCTTTACTGTTGACAGGATAAGCAGCATGTCCCTCACAGTTGCTGGAAGCTGACAAGTTCCACGGGGACATGCACGGGACTCACAGGAGGCACGTCAGGCATGGGTGCTCCCTGCAGGATCAGGGGGCCCAATGTCCAGCCCAGTTAAAATCTGAGCTTTCCCTCTCACTGAAGCCCAGCTTCGCCCTGTGCCATCCACCTGGCATCTTTCCTTCCCGCTCGCCTTCTGCAGGGAGGCAAGCATCTGGATGCCTGTGGGCCCCAAGGCTGGACTTGCGGAAAATCAGCATTTAAACCAGGTTCATTGGGAACCCTGTTTGCCACTGAAAGGTGCAGCTTGGGGGACAAATCTGGTCTCCAAGCACAGATAGCACTACAGTCTCGAACGGGAGCCCTGCTCACGCTGCTGGCCTCAGTGTCCCCACTGACCTGTACATTTCACCGGCGAATCCAGGCACCGCTGCCATGGCTGCTTTGGACACCTGTGTGAAGAGGAGGAAATGAGTGAGCACTCACGTGCCAGGCCCATAGGTGAGTTTCCCTCAGCACCTAGTACATGGCCAACAAGCAAAGAAACAATCTTTGAATGAACCAACCAATGTATGAAAGAGCCTCCCTTTGGATCCAGAGGGAAACATTTGCTAAACCAAACCCACATCAGGCGTGCATCTGTTAGGAGATCTTGAGCTCTCAGGTGTCAGCTGCTCGAAGCAGTATTCATTTCCAGAATCCTCCACAAGTCATAGCATAACAATGCACCTGGCATTTGTGCAGAAGGCCCAGCCTCCAGGCAGCAAGGGAGAGAGGAAGAGAAGGGGACAGAGAGAAGGGGAGAGACAGAGAAACCCCTTAGCACCTTGTCATAAAAAATAAGTCATACCCGAGCAATGAAGACTAGCTGGAGAGAACGGAGTCCTCGACTAGCCTGTGGTGCCTCGCAGAGGAACGCTGTCTTCCAGTTTCTCCCTCAGAGTTTTATGGCCTTCAAAAGCAGAAGTGGGGAAATGAGAAATTTCCACTTTGGTTAAGTGGTGTTGCAACCAAGTTAAAAAAAACAGATGATGGTAACTTCTGGGAGACGGTAATTCTCAAGCCCATGGAAGGGAAAGTGGCCATGAGCCGAGACTCATATGCACATGTGTTATCATGCAGATAAATATCTTCTACAACCATGATGCGGGATATGTCAATATTAACTGGGGTTTTCCCAGATTAGAGAATGCTTTAATTGGAATTTTGGAAGGCATTACAATGAATCCGTAGATTGCTTTGGGTAGAATGAATATTTTAACAACGTTACTTCTTCCAGTCTGTGAACACAGAATATCTTTCCATTTCCTTTTCAATTTCTCTCATCAACGTCTTATAGTTTCTAGGGTGCAGATCTTTCACTTTCTTGGTTAAATTGATTCCTAAGTACTTTATTGCTTTTGATGCCATTGTCAGTGGGATTGTCTTCTTGACTTCTCTTGCACATATTTTGTTGTTAGTGTACAGAAATGCACCAGACTTTGTTGAACTCAGATACTCAGATACCAGTGGAATGCCCGCCTCAGGGCAGCCCTCACATTTTAGAATATGAGTAACTAGGTCATAACTGGTCTTGGAGTTTAGGAACGGGCCTTCCCTACCTGCTTTGGCACATCTATACTATCACACTTATTACAGCACTGACTTGAAACCTTGCTCACTTATCTGGTTCCCGTAGGAGGCTGTGAACCCTTTTAATGCTGGGTCTACCACAGTGCCTGGCCTGCAAACTCAGACAGTGAATGTTTGCTGCCTGAGTGGGTGAGTGGGAAATTACCAGTGTTTTCACTCAAATAAGCACATGTCTACTGTGTGCCAGCTACTGTGCTTGCTCTGCACTGTCCATGGGAGAGAGCCTCTGACTTTTAGAGGCAGGAGAGAAATGGATTCTCTCCAAGCAGCCTTCTGGCTCTTTTTTAAAGAGTTTATTTTTATTGTTGAGAGTATTACAGATGTCCCCCATTTTCTCCCATTTGTCCTGCTCCACCCAGCTCCTACCCCACCCCAGGCCTTCCCCATACTATTGTTTATGTCCATAGGCTATGCATAGATGCATATAAATTCTTTAGTTAATCTCTTCCCATTCCCCACCTAGATCTGTCCGTCTGCTCCATGCATCCATGTCTCTGGACATATATTGTTTATCAGCTTTTGTTCATTAGATTCCACATATAAGTGAGATCGTGTGGTATTTGTCTTTCTCTGATTGGCTTATTTTGCTGATCATAATACCCTCCAGGTCCCTCCATGCTGTCGCAAAAGGTACGAGATCCTTCTTTACAGCTGCGTAGTATTCCACAGTGTGACTGTCCTACAGCTTTTTTATCCACTCATCTACTGACGGGCACTTGAGCTGTGTCCAGATCTTAGCTATTATACCAAGCAGCCTTTTGATTCTTAGTTTGGCTCCTAGTGCCTTGATGTCAGGAAAGTAGACACAAGAATTCCGCTTTTGGTAAACCCCATGTCCCACAGGAATCTATAAGTGGCACCCTATTCAGTGCATCAATTTCGTGTGACTTTGGGAAGCAGTAGCTTGTTCCCAACCCTAAGCCCTCAGAAAACTGGGTGTCTGGCTCTGCGGACACCCCAGAGGCCTTGTCTAGGGAGCCTGGCTAACCCCTCCGTTTTCCTCTACGGTATTCACTGTGCAAAGTGACCTCTGGTCCCCAAGTCTCACTGATGGAACTACCCCTTCCTGAGAGTCTCTGTGTTGGAGCCAGCAGGACCTGCTGGTCTGCAGCTGTGTGGGCTCTCCGGGCAGAGAGCACGAGACGCTCTCAATCTGTAGGCATGATTAGAAGCCAAATGAAGGATGAAAGCCAGCAACAGGGAGGAAAGGATGCCAGGGCCTAGAGCACCTCGTTCGAGTTAATCCACTCTGTTCCTGGGGCTTAAGATAAAGGAAGGAATCTTGAATCTACTTCTCCATCTCCCAGTATTCAGGGTGTATGCGTTTCATTCTTTCTGCTCAAGGGAAATTTTGGAGCCATGGGGCAATGCCCCTTGACGTTGTCTCCAGTGGTCTCTATGTCTCATCCCAGGCCTGTAGCCTGCATGCAAAACCTGGCAGCATCCTGTCCCTCTCAGGAAGTGAAACATCTTTTGTCACGCAAGCAGATTGTGCAACACATGTATTAAACTCTGTCTCTCCAAGGAGACCACTCAGGTCACAGCACTTCCTCCCAGTCCCCAGAGAGCAGAGAACATCTCACTACCGAGATAGTTGCACTGGGGTGGGTGGCTGGGAGAGTGATGGCCATGCAGGTGGCAATGCAGACCCCAGGAAATGAAACCCGCAGAAGTGCGGAGTGGGCAATGCCAGATGTTGTGGGGAGCTCCAGCTTTGGGGAAAATTTTCAGCTCTTATGTCATTCAGGCCCTTCTCAGATGCAAGTTGACCTCTCCCCTGGCAGGTCATTTCTCCAAGAGAGGAGACTGGCATTTGTTCAGAACAGCAAGTGCCGTGGTATCATCTTAGGTCCGATCTTGGGCTCCTACCCTCTCTTACTAAGACTGGCTGCACCTAAATGGCCTTCAATCATTTTGAACAAGAAGACAAGAAACACGATCATGGCTAGTTTCTTACATTATCGTGGGTGGATGTAATAACGTCTGCTCTCTGCCATGGGCCATTCCTTTAATGTTCATTCTCTTGATCAGAACAGAACTAAGCCGTGACTGTCCCCAGCATATCTCCCCAACCCCATCTCATCCTTGGCATTGACTTCCTAACATTGTTCTTAAGAGTCTGGCCTGCCTTCCATAATTTCTATGGGTCTTTCTGGCATCCGAAAGTATAAATTTCCTGTGTAGCTATATCTGTCTCCATGGATGCCTCTCTCCTTTGCTTTCTGCTTCAAGGATTATTTGGGATTGGACAACCCGATTTTTAGTTTTGAGACCTCTGCTCTTTATCTTATAGCATCATCTCCTTGGACCTGCCACCCCTCCTCTTAGACCCAGGTCTTCAGAGGGATCTGGCAGATTCAGGGATGTACCGCTCTCCCCGAGTCTAGAACAAGGAGGGCTTGGCTACATGAGCAGGTGGCTGGGTCTGGTGAGGTATATGGAATCCAGTGGCTTCTCCACCTCAGGCAGGCCAGTGAAAACTTGTCCTTCCTTTGGACCCAGCAAGAAAGGCCACGGGGTGGGTGAGGTGGATGCCAGGGCCCTCCTGTTACATGCCTTTTCCCACATGTGATGTTGTAAGAGTCGGCCACAAACACAGGGCTCTGGTACATTTATACCAGAAATGTCTGGAAATGTTATCCATAAAGGCTAACATTTAGGAAAAAGGTTGCCACACAGGACCCAGTTTTCAAACTAGGTTTTCACAATGAGTGATGTTTGATCAGATAGTTCCAGAACTGATCTGTCAAAGTTAACCAATGCTGTGCACAAGCCAAAAGTTACATATTAGAACTAGTGGTAATTTCAAAAATAGAAAAGGGCCACACAGTAAATATTTTAGGCTCTGAGGGCCATATGGTCTCTGTTGCAGCAGCTTAGCTCAGCCCTGGTTGTGAGAAAGCAGCCACAGGTGATACACAGATGCACGGCCTTAGCTGGGTTTGCCCTGGAGGTCATGGGATGCAGGCCCCGCACCACATCACTGTATCATGCCGTTTTCCTTGGATACAAATTTAGAAACAATACTTTTCCCAGAAAAAGCCATCCTTTACCAAGCACCTACTAAGTGTTAGGCACTTTTGTCTTATGATCCTATTTAGTCTTCACAATAAATATTAAGATAACTAGTAGGGACCCATTTCACCTATGGGGGAACCAAGGCCGACAGAAGTGACTTAGTTAAGACCACGCAGCCAGTATATACTGGAACCATGACTTAAGCCCAGGTTAGTTGAAGCCGAACCAGGTCCTTTTTCAAAAATCCACTTTTAATTGTTTAAACATTTATCGCCACTCTTGTGCCGTCCACGCTGCTGTTTCTCGGCCATCTGATCATATTTTGATCGGCACCTGGCTGGCAGGTGT